TATATACTATTTATTATGTACTATTTATTATATACTATTTATTATATACTATTATCTACTATTTTCCCTTATATCTATTATAAATAACTCATTGAATTCTATACATCTAGAATCATTGAATTCTGAAAAATATTTCAGAGTTCTTTTGTCCAATGAATCTTGTCTAGATAGCAAGGACTTGCTTCTTTCAATAAATATATTAAGAATTTTAGAATTTTTCTCTTATATAGCGTATAGCCTGATGTAAAACATACTCAACAAAATATTTTATTACATTCTAGAATTAGATGTAAGTTGTTTGATAAAATGGTGGTCGGCCATAATCAATGGAAATTAGTAAATTTGGTGAAAGAGGGTAGGACTAGGGTAAGAAAATGCTGCTTCATTCTGAGGTATATTAACTTCGAATCAATTTTGGTTGATAGTTAATGGGAAACGTGGGAATGATGTACAGGATGGAGATGCATTATCTTGAGTGTTTTCGTCGTTAATGAATTGATCAGTATATGTTTCATCCCGAATAAATTATGGTTTATATATTCGTGACTATGGTTTATATATTCATGATGATTACAGTATCTTTTTTTCAGAGACTTTAAGATTGCTATCGTTTCTTATGTTTGGGAACTGTCATGTCCTCTCGTGTGAAGTAAATTAAAAACAATTATTATATTACGAAAGCATTTAGAGTTTACATAAAGATACAGAGCCTGAAAGATAAAAGAATTTTAACTACAAGTTGTGAACCACCACAAGTGAAAAGGACAAAAAAATCGTGTTCAACGTGTTTGAAAGATAACACACGAACGAAGTTCTAAATATACACAATTGTTGATAAAAATTACCTTTATCCATAGCTTGATAAAATAGTACTTTATCGATAATCATTCTCTTTATTTTTAAAACAACTCTTAATTTAGTTGAAAATTCTCTGACGCAACTTCCCTGCGATAATTTCAATTTACTAAAATGAAACATTTATTTCTACCTATATCTATAATCTCTTCCAAACTTCTAAAACATACCGACTGTTCTCTAAAGATTGTTTGTTGTTGCGCATTCTTCAAACAGAGAGAGAGAGAGAGAAGAGGTGACAATGTAAAATGAAAAGGAATAATCTAAGAATCTGGACATTTCGTTGACCCTTTAGAACAGGGAGGAGGCCTCCCCCAAAGCGCACGGGGGAAGCACTGCCCCGCACGGGCATCCCCAATTTGTCGTCTCGATCTCTCCACGGTCGGTCGACGTAAACCTTAACCCTGGAACGAAGACAAAGCTCGTCCTGTAAACGGATGCATTTCATGCGTACGGCTGACCCCTTGTAGACATTGCTAGCTTACAAGGGGATTAAGGGGGCTAAGCTTGTTAAGTTGCAACAACCCGCCACCTCCTGCCCCCGCGCACGGCCCGTGGACATATCGGCCACGTAACTCGCACACGAGAATGTAAAAGAAGACACGTACGTACAAAGAGGAGAAGAGGAAGAGAGAAGATAAGGTGGAGGGACGAGGGGGAAAGGATGGAAGAAGTGGAGAG